GAGAATAAACTATAAATTATGATATATAGTCTATACAGTATCCACAATGTTCGCAATTGATTTGATAAGTAATTTATTGCGAATAAATTACTCATCAAATCTTTAATTTATAGTTTTAGAGTCAAAAGTTATTCTATTTATTTTTAGTAACTTTAAGCTACCTATATATAAGTTCAATCTGTAATAACTCTTTAATAAGTATTAAGTTTTGATTATTAATATTTTCTAATGTTAATGATTGATTTTAGTCATGACTCATGAATGACTGTGGTTATAGTACCTATACTTTTTTTAAACTGATTAAAAAAATTCAACCCAATTTTAAAAATAGTGATAATTTCTCATAATTTTATTTATTTTATATAACCATATAACTTATATAAGCTATTTACTCGTTACGTTTTATGAAATACTGACCATTTAGATTGTTGACCTGTAAATATGAAGTGCAATTAAGGTGGTKTGAACACTAAAGTGTWATGYTTTCTTAACAATATTCTAAACTTGATCAAATCGTTAACATTTTACCTTTGATGTAGCTTGGTTAGTTCTTTTAGGAGACTATCTTGTTGAAAAAAAAAGTATTACCTAAAAATGTATTACAAAGATACAAAATATAAATTATAAATTATAATAAARTGTGTCTCGTCTCGTTTCAGGAAGATACGTGATGCATTTAACAAGTTCAACGTCGATGCGCCGGGGGAGATTAACATTTCCCATGTATGTTGTGGGTAGGACTCAAATAATGATTTACGATTGACGTCGACGCACTTATAGTTATCGACTGACCGCATTGTGTATTTTTATTTTTATTTCTACTATTTAGGTGACAAGGGCTATCCGACTGTTGGCTAATCAGAATCTATCCGAAAACGATGTGCTAAATCTGTCACCCGAACACCGTGACATCAAAGGTATAACTAAATGTCTTGACATATTTTTTTTTATACCAATTAAATACAGYATAGTTCTCAAATGTCTTGAAAAAAAGTATGTGGGATTTGTTAGGTATGWATTTAGGTATTTTAATTGTTGAATATTTTTATGTTCTATACAATATGTTCATTTTTGTTATATTTGCTTTTAAAAATATTATTGTACCTACAACAAGTCACGGCTATTAATAATTTAATCGAAAATTAAAAATAGCTTCTATTAAACACTTAGAACATTGTTACTGTTTTCGTTGTATACTCTTAATGTACATGCATGTTGTTACAGATGTTGGAGGAAACCATCAAATTTATTTTACGTTTAACCAATTTTATGCTATTGTTTCTAAATTTCTACAGTTACCAGACAAGAACAATCTCAAAAACGGATTTGATATCGGTGAGTGCTTTAACTTATAATAACATCAACCATGTTCGCCTATTTAAATATTAATAGAATGTAACAACCATTTATGAAAAATGTTTAGGGCACTCATACCATTTGAATGTAGATAGACCATTATACTTGTCACACGAGAGTGTTGAAACAACAAGGTCTTTAAAGACAACAGATATTTATCTAGCTGGAGAAAGCGGCGATGACATTCGGTGGAGAGAAGACATTGCTATTCCCATGATCAAGTACATTTTAAACATTTTGTTGTTTGTTTGATAACTAGTAAACCTTATTTTTATTTGTTGTAGAAAATCTAATTTAACATATCATGCAGCATCCAAAACAGATCTATCAGTATTATTAGATGCACGTACTTTGTTATTTGTAATTCCAAACAATTCAAGATCTTTGGCAACCATGACACTAGTAAATTCTGTTATTTAAGTTTTATCCAATAATAAATAAATATTAATATTTTGTAATCATAATTGCAGGCAGCATATAGTATAGCTAAAGGCTGCAGAATGGTGTTATGTATACAGAATCTCAGTAACGATAACTGCACAGTTCGCGGTGAAAAGGTATTCATGCATTTATAATAATAGTAAAAACATAGACATTTTGATATAGGTACTAATTGTTTATTTTTTAGTTGACACAAACAGCAATCAACGACTATAACCGCGGACGGGTTTACCTAGCAGATTTAGCATCACGAACACGAGTGCCAGTGTTCGAATCAATCAAAGAAGCGGTTGAAATCGCAGTGCAAAAAAGCTTATAGCATAATATATTCTATTTTATAAATTATAATGCACATGGAAAATAAAGACCATTTAATTATTTTAAATTACATGAACATCAACAGATGTTCATAAGCAAAAATGTTTTTTTATCCATAGATATTATTTTAACWTATAAGTACCAATTTTTTGAATTTWATTTWATTTTTTTTAACTAACAGCTAAGGAATTATTTTTAATTTTAAATGTATTGATAGTATAGGTTAATGCCTGTTTCATAAGATAAATAAATAAATTTAAATACTTAAAAGCTATTCAGTTATACTGTTTTTTCTCCTCCTGATTTTAAAACATATTATAATTATTCATTTTAAAATACATATATAATAATGTTATATTATTCAATATTCCTTCGAATATTTAAAAAGCTTTATAATATTATGTATCCAAATGGCAATTATACTCTTTACTCAGACTCAATACATTCACTATCACTGATTTAGCGAAGTTTCGTTATAACCAATTCATTAATTCATTCATAAACTTACTTGCCACAACAATTGGTGGGGAGGGAGGGGGAGAGAAGGCGTTGGATTTTGAGTAGGTGCAGGGTTTAAATTAATTTTTAATTTTTGATAGGAATACCTATTTTATATCAARTTAATATTTTATGATATAAGATTATAATGTAATATATTAAGTAAGTTTGTTAATTTAAGCTTTGAGTTAACTATTGATTAGGTTACTAGAAATTATTTACATATGGGACACCCATATCACTCGTTATGAGTTGTATTTAATTAAAAGTTTTTAGAGGGTCCGTAAAAATATTTAGTATAGCGATTTAGATTTTAAACACTARACTCTGGCAGTTGGCGCTCTGCAAAGTTTTTTTTTGTATTTTTTAATGAAATTTATTATTATATTATTAATTAAGAGGACGTGATACCCRCRTGTGTTGTCTCTGTCTTACAAGTGCATTATATAGTAAATTTTACGTTCAGCAGAACACGTGTAGCTCCGTTTGCTTAAAAATTAGAATGAATTGACCTCTTATAAAATTTAAAGGTTATGATTGTTATCTAGTCAACCTCATATGCTTTTTAATATATTTAAATTTTAAAGGAAGTTATGAGTATTTTAAGATGCACAAAAAATTCACAATTTTAAAATACTTATTTTAAAATAACTCGCTTTAAATTTGATACAAAATAAAAAGCATATGAGGTTGTCTAGATAATAATTCTTACCTTTAAATTTTATAAGAGGTCAGTTCACTCTAATTTTTAAGTTAACGGAGCTACACGTGTTCTGCTGAGCGAAAAATGTACCATATTACGCATTTGTAAGACGGAGACAACACATGCGGGTATCACGTCCTCTTAAGATGTTGAGCATGCTAAAATAGGTGTATTTTATCATGGTGTTAAGCGTGAGCGCCAAGTACCAACTGTCCCAYTTGGACAMGGCGGCTGTTYTGTTATCAGTAATATTAWAATTGATAAAATAATTATAWATTCACAGAATAKATTAAATTTAATCAATATTATATTTTTATATTATGATTGAATGATTCATTACAAATTACAATGGCCTTAACGAGCTAAATATAAAACTTCTTATAATTTTTAAATGTGCCGACTTAAAGTTGTTGTAAATGTTAGACTAGGGCAAATGCCCAAGTTGCCCCCCCCCCCCAAATGACGCCACTGGTATAGGTAGGGCACTATAGAACATTATATAGAGCCTTAGTATAGGTAGCCCTACTGGAATTAATAGGTGACATTAAACTTTGTGGTCAAAGATAGGTGACCCAATTTAGTGACTGAATGATCAATAGGTAATATACAAAAAGTATGCCAAAATATACAAATATTTCATTATGTATAATTATAGACTAAGGGCCGTTCTTACAATGTCCGGTTAAGTGTCGGTTAAGACTAACCGGTAGAATTCTATCGGTTAACTCATGATAAATTCTTCCGGTTAGTGTTATCAGGCACTAACCGAGCATTGTAAGAATGGCCCTAAGTAATTATACCAACAAAATGTGTTTTGACCTATGTTTGACAACAAAATTAACATACATAGCTTATCTGTTAGTGAACGATCTGTAATTAAAWCTAATATCCAACAATTTTTTTATTTATCGCATGTCTAATATCCCACAATAGAGTACTTCTAATGGGAGGCATCTTCATTCAGTTACTTCATGTCATATTATTTTTATTTATTACTATCTTATATAGGTATAAACTTATTGTTGATTTTTTTTCTWATAGATGACCTAATAACAAATTTAGAGAAAACCCATTAAATGATAATCAATRTATTTCTTCTACAAGAAAAATCTATGAATCATAGATATGTTTTTGTAAATAAATAACTATGACAATGAAAAACTTATTAAAAATCGGTCAGAAATAAAAAATCTTGAATCCAACTCAAAAACATGTTTGTGTTAAATTATAAATTCAATACTATTATCTTTATATTCCATATATGATAATTGTCAAATATTAAATATATTATGATATATCATATATTATATTTTATGGTATATAAATCTAATGTATGTGACATTGGTTTAAACTTTAATTTACTAGTGTAATAGATCGAAGTAAAATTTTTTTTATTATATTTCATATTATGCAAAAATGTTATAGTTTGAATGTTGGTCCAATAAACTGAAACTTAAAATCTAATAATGTATGATATTATTATTACTGTTGCTTAAGTATTTAA